GATTATCAGTTTTAGACAGTCCCTGCAATATGTTCTAGCTTCTTTAGAAAATATTGCTAATTGGCATGACAGAGAAACATCATCCAAAGCAAAGACGTTGTTATCGGCTTTAACTGATTCTGAATTTTTAATAGCTTTGTACTCAATTGCCGATCCATTAATTCTAACTAAGCCACTAAGCAAAGTTTTACAAACAGAAAATTTAGATTTGGTCGAGGCAGCTCAACATGCTAATAGAGTCATAGATAATCTTCAATCTAGAAGAGAAAATGTTGAGCAAATATTTCATGATATCTTTACGAGAGTTTCTAAAGTTGCAGAGGAACTGAATATTGAATTAAAAATGCCAAGATGTATAGAAAGACAAGTAAATCGTGCAAATATTAAAAGTAACTCATTAGAAGAATATTTCAGGATTGCTATATTTATTCCCATGCTAGATAGTATGATAACAGACATGGAATCAAAATTTGGAACAATCCAAATAGCTATAATGGGTTTGAGTCGTTTGATACCTTCAGTTTTCCTCCGAATAAGTGGTAATGCAGAACAGAATAAAACATGGTTTTTAATTGACCAAGCTGTTACGAAATATAAAAGTTTAATAACAAATTTGACCTCGTATGATGACAACACGGCCATTGAATTTGTACGCAATGAAGAAATGCTCTGGACGCAGTACTGGGTAAAGATGAATTCACAGCCCAAAATGGCCATTGAAGCTCTCGCATTGTGCAATTCCAATCTCTATCCGACAATTCACAGCCTGTTGTCAATATTGTGCACCATGCCTGTTTCAGTAGCAACGGCAGAACGTTCATTTTCTACTCTGAGGCGGTTAAAAACGTGGATGCGCTCCAAAATGAATGAGGAAAGACTAACGGGATTAGCCTTAATAAACATTCATCGCGATATTGAATTAGATATTGAAGACATTATAACAAGGTTTGGCCGAAAAAAATGTAGAAAAATGACATTTGTCTTGTAAATATTTCATGTATATAACAGAACAATGTTTTGAAGAATGTTTTTCAATTTAAAAAAAATTAAGAAGTTGAAGTGTTTGGCTTTTTGTTATTTATTTCATAAAATATCAAACCTCAGTTCAAAGTGGGGGGGGGCGATCGCCCCCACCGCCCCCCCTCTGGATCCGCCATTGCTGCTGAGTCAAACTGACAATTCAGGTTTACAGATTGTACCTGGCACAAACTTGGCTTTTGGTCGTAAGAATTTCTCCCGTAATGGGTCCACTGTCTGAAATGGTTTGCCTTGCTTAGGAACCTTCGAGATCCTAAGTTGTCTGTTATTCAATTTCATAAAAGGGTAAAAGTTGAAACACCATCTTTTTGTCAAGCTTACCCGTGCTAATGTTTTTTCTCCACTCATTGCATTGCTTTAATAATCGATTTACTCCAATAATCGTTATCCCCACTGAGATCCTTTTAAAGGGCGCTTACAAACACACCAATAATAATAATAATATATTTAGACTATATACAAAGAATATATTCATATATATTAGACTATATACTTCGAACAGAACTTATTCTTGAAGTGTTATATTAATATTATAATAATATTTCATTAAATAAAACTGATAAATGCATCAGTTGCCAAATAGTTTGATCTCCAACATCAGTCTCCTTTTATAGGATGATCAATGTAGAAAATGTAAACAAACAAGTGAATGGTTATATGTAGGAAGTTGTTATTTAATTATTAATTAATGATTGTGAATAATGTTTTCAATTTTGTAACTAATTTTAATTATTTAAAAATAAGTTAGGTTATTTAACTAATTTTTATTAATCATAGTTAGAATAAAATTTAAAAATGATAAATTTCAGTCTTTTCCTAACTAATTCTATAAGTAAAAATAAGTTATAAAATCTAACTGAAGTTGTTTGTTTTTTTACTTTCTATTTTATTGTTTTTAATTATTTATGAAACTTTTTTTTTTAGTATTACAAATTGATTATTAAAGTATTATTTATCTGTTATCAATTCTTATAATTATATATTTATTTTTTTATTAATATTATTGTTATTATTATTAATATTGTTATTATTAAAATTTAAAACTGATAAACTAGAAATTATTTATTATTCAATTAAAAGAGCAAATAATTAATAATTAATCTTTTAAGACCCAATATTTAAAACAATGAATGCTGTGATATCCTTGTGCCATTTCTGTGAACTTCATGGACCAGTCGTCTTATTTTCTACCCAAGTTCTTGACCAATCGTCTTTAGGTAATGAAGCCAAAGACGCAGAAGAAGAAACTTGTAAAGTTGACCAAAGAAGTGTTGAAAATAATGAAAACCTCACTACACAGTGTTCCAGGTTTTTCAATGAAACGAGTGTCAGATGCTTTAAAAAGTGCTCCAATCATATGAATAAGACAGCTTTCAAGTGCGATGTTAGTTTTACTGACTGTGGTGTGAGAAGTTTATCCACTCATCATGACTTTTTGATTTCTTAATTGTTATTTATTTTAATTGCTGTTACTTTTTTTTAGTAATTTTTCTATTTAGTTAAAGGTGATGGTTGGTAAATGTGAATGTCATAGTCTAACAATTCACAATATTACTGCTTTTTTTCTATAATTGAGTTACTAATTAATAATAAATGTATTTACTTTCTATTGCACAGACTTGTCAAGCATTCACCAATTCAACATCTGGATTCATAAGCAGAGAATCAAATTCACCACAAGTCTACCTAACTAAACAAATCTCTACCAACACATCACTTCATTCATCCATTAAGCAAGCTTGTGTCAAAAGTATTTCATGTGAGGTTAGTTCTTTGAAATCAATATAACTGTGGGCTCCAATTGTCATAAAAAAAAAATAAAATTTTTTGATTAAAATGTTTTTTTAATTTGTATTTTTTGGTTTGTATTTTTTATCATTGGTTGGTTTATAGTGAAGTTTAAAATGTTGATGCTGCCCACAGCAATGTCCAGGCCAGATGGGTCCTCTGTTCTATGGAGATGATGGAGATGATTCAGCAGCAGGTTACAGCACAATCTGCTACAAGTTCTTCTTGAAAGATTTCCATTCTAGAGGCTTCAAAAGGAGTTACTGCATCAACTTCCAAGCACAGGATAAACATTATTTGTTGCATTCCTGGAGGTTTCTTGTGAAGAATCTTGAAGTGATGGTGAATGAATTGAAACGCCAAGCTGAGAATAACTTCAATATGGAGCATGCTGAGCATGGAAGTGGTTGGTTGGGATTTGATGTTTAGTTTTGCGTCTTGAACAATCTATTGATTTTAAGATGGGAAATTCCATTTGTTTCAGACTTAACATTTCTGGTTGTCTTTCGTAAGTTAGAGACTTATTCTATTGATTGGATTGTATGAAATGTAATCATTTCTATTATTTAGGGTATATGCATAAAATTAAATGCTTTTTCCTTTCATTCAGTTTTAAGATGTCTCTCACCCATTCTGACATCATCTCCATGTTCGATGGCATCATCATCAACTGCTGACCTGCAAGAGAAATCATTATGCCAGAATGAACCGACCAACAACAACAGCAGCAGCAGCAAATTGACCAACTACAAACTGACCAGGTCACTCGTGGACATCACTGGCTTTCAGGACATCTTCAAACAGATGCACCTCATGTTTGTTTGGCTCCTGAAAGCATACAGAGAAAGACTTGTCATCTTGCAGATGGATCAAAATTTGTACCTAAGTGATTTTAAACAGAATGAAAACATTATCGATCTGAGCAGGCAGGAAGGTTGATTGGTATTTTTTGCCTAACTTATTTCAAGCTCACAATTTGATAAGTATGCAGCATTAAGATTTAGTAAATGTATGGTTCATATTTTGTTCCATCTCGTAAAATTGACCTGAATCATTTAAAATTTTTCATTCATGCTAATCTAACTTCATAAATTCTTTGCTGATCATTCAAACTTCAGAGACAGAAGAGGGCTTTGTCAAGTTATTTTGCTTGAAACATCCTAGCACGTTGGCAGCAGATGCAGCAGCTGGTGGTGACATTAACAACCATGATGACGGTGATGACATAGATGATGATGATAATATGGCTCTCTTCACTCATCCCAAAGATCTTCTTCGAGTACTTCAGATATTTATTCCAACTAGTTGCCTTTTTATTAAACTTGGTTTATACTTCCATTAATTCCGCTTTACAGATCACAACTGTTTTTTGATTTTCAATGATTTGGTTATAATAAAATTTATATAAAAGAAATATTTTTAAACAGCAAAACGTTTAACTTAAGGTTCTAGGCCTTCAGATGTTCAGTAAGTTGTTGCACCTGACGCTGATTGGACATCAGCTGATCGTCAGAGCACGTGATCGACCAATCATAAAATCCGTCATCGATTGTCTCGTTGTAAGGTTTTTTTCACTCTCATATCCTTGCTCAACATCTTCACTTGTTAAAACGTCATTTGTAAATATCTATGGATTCTATTCAATTGCAAACATAAAAAAATCATTAGTTATACACGGTAATACCCTACCATATTCTTCTCGTTATAAACATTCCTGGGAACGATAGTAGTCCCTTCGTCATGCATCCCTTCTAATCGGTTCTGAAAACCTCAAGTCAATAATATCCTCAACAGCTAAAATATAGACGCAAACTCTCTGAGTAGAAATTTCAGATCGAGTGGTATAGTTCAATACCTGTGTGTAATTTTATGTTATCGATCACTATAATATATATATATATTTATATATATAATAAAATTATATCCATTAAATCATTAAATTACTCATAGAATTGAAATAAAGCACTTGACCCGAATATGTTTGCACTATATATTATACTCACTATTTTATCTTTCGCCTCTGTTTGAAGCTGGGATCTCCCTGCACCAAGTATCATTATGAACGTCATTGCCACTCTTGTTCCAATAAAATTTATAATGGGAAGAACATGACGGAGCAGTTTGAAATATCGTGATCACTATTTTTCAAACGGTTGTTGAAGTCATGAATTAATTTTAATGCAGCCTTGTTCGTAAAAATTTTTCTATTTTTAAAAACTTTAGAATTTTTTGCCTGGACATTTAGTGAAGATAAATTACTTCACTAACGACTACGCGAATAACAGCGGGTTCAACTTCATTGGAATGCCTCTTGTACCTCTGCCCCCTCCGACCACGCGACCTTATGCACTACTGGACGTCAGCGGCATACACACCCTCAAGAAAATTTCTCAACTGAACCGCTGCTCCATTGCTAAATGCTACGAAGACTCCAAATTGCAAACAGAAGAACTAATGCTGAGATATTACATGCTCACCTCTGAGAAGTTACAGTTGCCAGCGAAACGTTTGTATCTAGGCTTATTCAACATACCAAAAACTATTTTCATGTACATTTTTGATATCTCAATAATTTTGTTGTGTTGGTGTCAATGAGCTGCCTCAAACGATGTCTCGCAACCGTTGGGTTATGATACTTGGTGGCCATGTTGCTCTTGAATGATGCATGCGCATACAATGCTCAAAAGCAATAATAATGCCTTGCACGCATGTTGTACTGCTTGCAAATACACATAAATGTTCAACGCGTCGTGTTATGATGCATGTCGAAGTTGCGTCATGATAAATAAAATATATCATATGCCGTTTAAATTTTTAAATTAGCACCAACTATGTTGGAAAACATTTTGAGGATAATGATGAATGAATCGCTTGATGACGCTGTTATTGACCTCTGTCTGCTCTCGTTAAAAGAGGATTGGCTTAGGTGAGTAACGAAATGATCATTCCTTTTTTCAAATTGATCTCATAATATTTTGTCTCAAAATTAAAACGATTGCTTTCCCGTTAAATGTCTTTAATTGGTTATCTTTAATTTTCAAATGTTATAATTCTATGTTTAAATTTTTATGGTGTAAAAATGTTGACGAATTTTACCGAATTGAACTGAAAACTGGTAAAACAATTTTTTGCTTTAATAAAATATTTTGTAAAAAGTACGTGATCTGAATTGTTAAGTTATATAGCGGAAAGATCTAAATTGGAGGCTTGCACACAGTAGCCTCTATTTTTTTCCTAATTACAGTCAAACTTGGAAATTGTAAGTTAAAATATGAATGAAAACCATTAAATCACCAAACAGCAAATCCAGAATGTATCAGCAGCACTTCCTTTCGGGCGAGAGAAAAAGTTGTTCGGACACAAACAGGTTTCTCCACATCATCAATGCCAAAGATGAAGACAAAATACTATTTAAATACTGGGCATCAGCTTGATAGAAATGTTTACTTCGCTAAATGTAACTGCGTCGTCGTGCCTCTTCTCAACTATCATTCGTTCATTCCCATATTCCACTATTCCCATCAGTTATTCAGCCATTCATTAATGTTTATTTTAAATAGAATCGTAACATTTATTTTTTTACGTTGAAAATATTTTCCTACTGCCTATTTGATTTAAAATTTTTGGTTTGAGCACACAGTGGACTATTTATTTGAAAATTAAAAGAAAGTGTAAATAGAAGCTTCGGCAAAAGAGAAGCGTTGCATTTCCGTTAATCGAATAAATACTCTAATAAAATTCTGGTATGATTTCGCCTGGCCGCAAATAGGTGGTCTGTAATTTTACATTAGAATACTGTTTAACGTTGTTCACATTCTGATACCGGAGATGTTGGTGGCAGACGTCATATGCTATACTCCGGCTCCGAGCAAGAATTTCCGACTCCCAGAAAAAATTGTCAACTTTTGCATCATAATTTCATCTATCAATACTGAATAGAAAATACTTTTAAAAACTACTAAAAATAGTCAATGTAATTGTTTTTCTTTGTAAAATTACTATATTTTTATGTTTTGAAGCATACTGAAAAATTTGGTAATTTTATTGACATTATTAGCATTTATTTTCAGTATTAAAGATAATTGCATATTGCTTCACATATATTACTTTTCCAAATAACACGATCTTAAAAAAATTTATCAGAAAATATTTTTTGTTTGTTTAAATTAACATCTTCCGGAATCTGATAAAAAATTCCCTCCACCAGACTATGAAAGAAGAAAATTTTGAAGATTCTGTGTGTAAAATATACAAATATAGTAAACGAGAATTAGCTTAACAAAGTCATCAACTTTATAATTTTTAAAATCATACCCCAGTCATTAAATTCTGGATTCGCCATTTGTGGCATACTATTTTGAAAGGGCCTCCTTTGGATGATGCGGTGTAATGTGGAGATGGGGGCCAGTGACCCCCACGTTGTGAGCAGTTTTTAAATAAGTCAGAAAAAAGATCGTTTAATGTATAAAATCGACCGAAAAAAGGCCATCAACCACAGCCACACTACCATAAATCTTGTCTCTTTGTCAAAATTATAGATCCCCTTCAAAATTGCCAAAGTTGTCTAGATCTGCCACTGTGAAGATGTTATTTGATGTTGTGTGGTTTGAAGTTGCATAATGTGGTGCTATCTTATGTTATATATGGTAATTTCATGTGCTATGACGTCAAGGCAGTCACTATCGTTAGAAAGGATAATATTCAACCGAGAACCGAGCGTTTGATCTCATGTGACCAAGAAACAAAAAGTCAATATTGTGACCATATACTTAGAACATATCAGCCAAGATTATGATAGCCACGAGAAACAGAATGCGTTGAGTGTGGCACGTAGTTCTCGCTTACACGTAATATGCAGTAAAGTATAAACCAATAAAAATAAATATAGCATTAAATTTTCGTTTATATGGTTCATTGTTTCTAATGGCTGAATATTAAATTCAATGCCTTACAACACAATAAACAGAAAGAGCCTAATGGAGTCAAAAAAATGTTCCGAACTTGCTGAGAATTATTGATTCTTTTATTTTTTTATTTTTTAATTTATTAATTGTTATAGATTAATATAAATATTTATTAATTTCAACGAGTTCATAAGCAGCATTCGAAACAAGTGGCCGCTCCCAGCACAGCTCAGCGGCAGTTTTCTTGCCCAACATTTTGCATTGATGCGTTGTTTTTAAAACAAATTTTTAAATAGGCCTTCTTTGCCAGGGCACGATTCGTAATGCTTATTATCATCTGATAGTGGCTAGGAATGCTCCGTTTATACTGTAACAAGTATATCCGACGAAAGCATTTCCATTGAATGATTTTTGTTCTTTTATTTTTTATTGAGTGAATCAAAGAATTATTTTAATAACTATATTAAAATAACAATGTTAACAAAATAAACTTTTACCTTTTTAAAGAAACAATTGGATAAGTTTTCAAAAACGTTAAAAATTTGAATGTGAATCACAGTTTAAAACATATGTTCATAAAAAACGACTTCGCTTAGTTGGTAAATCATTTAACGAAAAATCGGAATGGTTCAGATCATATGTTAGTTTATTCTATAAATTTGACAAAACGTTAATAAATCATCGAAATTAACTGACCACAAGCGGGCAGTCGGTGCAGCAATCAGATCGCCGAACCGCCTAAAACGGGTCATCCCTCAATTTCACTGCGATGTTCTCTAATTTTAAGCACAAAAATATTCTTAAAAAGTTGCTAGTTGCAAAGAAATTTTAAGATGGCATTCGTCAGTGACTCCGGTGTTGCATCGGGATGTTCCAGCAGAAGAATCGTCAGAGTCTGGGTCGATGGATGGTTTGTTTGCTGGAATTATTAAACATTCAGCAACTTACTATCTTTACTATACTATACTTATACTATATACTTACAGATCACGTTTTTATTTTTTTTTTCATACATCACCTATTCTATTTTAATTCATTTTTTTAAATTTATAATTATTATATTTTTAAAAGAATTAATTTATAATAAAATAGATAGAATAATAGATTTTACTTAATCTTTTCTAACACTGATCAATCACTAAAAAATAAATTAGTTATTATTATAAAATAGTTAGTGTACTAATTATGACCACTATGATGATGATAATGATTATGACACCAACGTGACACTAATTTTTAAACACTGTGGTTTTCACTAATGTTCAAACCTGTTTCTTTTATTTTATTTTTATTATCTTGTAGTGCCAATCATTATGAAAGAACTACAACCATTTTTGTTTTTTAGAGTAATAGTAGTAGTGAGTAATGTAATCAGATCATCACCTACTTGATAACTTAAGATAATCTTTTATTGATTAACTGAATTTTTTCAGATTTAAAAATTTTTTTTACCAGAAAAACTGAAAAATATTTAACTAAATTCATTAAAAATTTTGTTTCTATCTTGCAGAAAGCAAAGAAATTAAAATTTCAAATAATTATTTTTTAATTTTTTCAATCCATGATTTTCTATCAATGCAAATGTTATAATTTTTTAAAATAAAAGTTAGTGGATTGCAGAACTTTTTAAGACATTTCATTTTTTTTTTCAATTTTTTAATTAACAGTTTTGACATGGTACACTTTGGTCATGCAAATGCATTAAGACAGGTTATTCACTACATTACACTTTTATTGCTTTAAAAAACGTTTTAAAATCACCATAAGATGCAGTATCTTGCTACTTTTTAACTTTTTAAATAATATTTGATTTTATGTTATAATTCAAATAATAATAATAATTTGAATTATAAATTATAATTTATATAATAATATTTTCTAAGGCAAAACAAATGGGAGATGTGTTGGTTGTTGGCATCCATTCAGATGGTTAATATTTCCGTTATTCATTCATTTGAATGTCCAAGTCGTGCTAATCCATTTATTTGATTAAAATTAAAATTTATAATATATTAAACATTAACTTCTGCATATTAGGAAGTATTAAATACTTACCTCATCACAATATCCTAGTATGTAAATAGTGGTTTTACAGATTATTGTTTGTAACACACATTCTCTCACACACACTGACTCATACACACACTTACACACGTACATACACACACACATTGACACACACATTTCAGAGGAGATAACAAAACACAAGGGTCCTCCAGTTTTCACAGAGGAGGAGAGGTACAAGATGGTAAGGTCTATCAAATGGGTAGATGAGGTGCATTCCAAACTTCTATAGTTCTATATATATATATATATATATATATATATATATATATACATATATATAAACATATAAATATATATATACATATACATATATAAACATATATAATATATATTATATATATGCTCTTTTTTTTTTCTCTTTCTCTCTCTCTCTCTCTCTCTCTATATATATATATATATATATATATTCTATATATAATATATATATATAGAATGTTGATGATAAACATTGTTGATTTCAAAATGAATTTGAAAACTTATCTATTTGCGATGAAACATTGTAATTGTAATTGATTGTATCATTTCGTTTATTGATAGAATGTACATTATTTCACTGTTCATTTATTATTTTTTCTTTTTTCGATAGCGCTTGTGAGAGATATTTATTTTAATGGGTGCTTTATAAGTGTTTTATAATATATAAAAAGAGAGAGAAAGAGATAAGGAGAGAGAGAATTTATTACATCTCTTTTAAAATTGACTTTACATTTTCTGGAAGTTAAAATTTGCAACTTTTCAAATAAAAATTTTAATATAGTTCTTTGTTATTTTTTTCTTTGGCAGTCTTTTGTAAAATAACTTTTGCAAGTTCCATATTTATGTTACTTCTATTTTTCCCTGATTCCTTGAAAGGTAGTAATAATATTGATGCGAATGCCCGCCTTAGGTCGTAGAGTCGGCACCGTATGTGACAACCATTGAGACTCTGGACAAGTACAATTGTGATTTCTGTGTCCACGGAGGTCGCTCTTATAATATTTTTTAATTTGTTTGTTACATCTGATTTTCATTTAAAATAATATTTGTGTAAAATTTGTTCACAAAATAATTTATTAAGTTGATCAAAAGTTAAAAGTTCTTTTTTTATTAAAATTCATAAAATTAACTCATTTGATTACCTTGTTAACTGAACATCTCATTTCTACAGTCAAGAATGATTGATTGATCTATCATCATTATTATCCTCTTGTGAGGCTATGAATTGTTGTATGTATGATTTGTATCTAGTAGGACTCTGACTCTGAGCTTAGTACAGCTTAAATTACTCTACTCATTGTTACATGCAAACAGATGATATAACAACCACTGTCGATGGAATGGACACCTACCAAATGGTCAAAGATATGGGCAGATACAAGTATTCATTCACTTTCGTTTTCATTCGTTCATTCATTTCATTCATTCATCCATTTATTCATTTCATTAAATTGATTCATTCATCTGTTTGTGAAAATAAGATTAATGTGTTTTCATCATTTTTACTTAATTGTTCGTTTATTTGTTGGAAATTTATTCCTTTCTGTGCCCAAGTACAAACAAAACATCAAATCTTTCACTTATTTTCTGTTTGTAATTGCCAAATTAGCTACTTACATCATTGAATCCAGCGTGAATGGTGAAATAAATTTTGAATCTGTTCCAAACAGAGAATGTCAGAGAACGCAAGGCATATCTACAACGGATCTGGTTGGAAGGTACAAGTATTCTTCATACTTACTTTTTTATTGATAATTTTTGCCTGCAGACCAATTTGCCAACTTGTTTATTTTGATTCACCTGTCTACTTTTAAAGTGGAAAATGTATAAGTTATATCGTAGCCACTTGATAATGTTAAGTTGAAAATGTTTTCATTTACATAACTTATCGCACTTGAGTTTGATTTGTGATTAATAAGTTGTATTATGCAGCTTTTGTGTTTCAATCTTTCTCTTGTTTTTTAGCTGTCACTGGCTGGTCACTTAAGTTTGGGTAGGGTAGAGTTTTATAAATAATTAGCTTATCTGACATCATGTGGAAATGTGTTGGAAGCGTGTTTTGCTGTGCGGTTGAAGTTTCTGTTAACATATTTTACATTTAATGAGTTTCAGTTGAATTTTTATTCATCATCAGTGAAGTTCAAGTTAGAGTTGAAATATTAAGGATGAAATGTTGGATGAAGGGCTGATAAATAATGTTCATTTGTAGAGTTTCATTAATAAATTATCAACATTTTTCTACTCATCTTAAATGTGGTAGATAATTTTTTTTTTATATTTAAACTCATCGACCACCTTGAATGCAAGGATGTTGCTGGTGACGAAGACCCACCACCAACGTGACGAGAGCAGGGTTCCAGACAAGATGTCCATACAAATTATTGGACAGGTAGGTAGGTTCCCAGGTTAGGTTGCCTCCAGTGCATTCACCCTTTGTAGAGACAATCAAACATTTCTGTGAACGTCTTTTGAATATAAATTGTTTTATTTCATTTCTGAATGTACTGCTACTTGTAAAATTTGTAGTTTTTAATTGAAACATTAACAAAGCAAAGGCGTTTTGGAGAATGTGCAATTCGTAGTTGCATGCAATCCATTATTAAAATTAATCATGGATTCATAGAAGCCATCCATCAGTCTGAATATACAAAACACATATAATGAATGAATGAATGAAACAGGACAGACAGGCACGGAGTCCGTACACTGGCACGTGTCAGTTCCTGCCGACCACCAAAAGAATTGCACAGTTCTCATCAGGCATCGAACCGAAACCTGGCGACAAGGTGGTGTACGTCAGTGGGGCGTTCGATCTCTTTCGTATCCTTTCTGCTGAGGGTGGTGGTGGTGGTGTGGTGGTGGTGGTGGTGGTAGTGCTGCTGGCTATGATGATGGAAATGACATGGGTTGGTTTGGTAGAGATCTGTAAAATATTCTGATCCATGCTTTCATCATAGGTTGAGTTTCATAAACTCGGCTGATCAACTCATTATCTCTAGAGTCATGTAAAAAATGTTCTCCTTAACACACACACCTCCAAAAACAAATGTTTCCACATGCACCTCCGAACAACACCACACTCCTCTTGCAACAAAGACCTCGGTCACTTGAGTTTCCTTGAGAAGGCAAGATCCTGCGGTGACTACCTCATTGTTGGCATCCATTCCGATCCTGTAAGTATGCATCCATTCACTCATTCATTCATTCACTCATTTATTCGCTCACTCATTCATTCACTCATTCATTCGTCCATCCATCCATTAATTCATTTATGTTGTCCCGTTACTGTTGCTTAGCATTGTATCTTGACTCTCCCTGAATGTTATGTTGTGTTTTGTGTTACATGGTTTAGAGCTTATCTGGGTTGAATTCGTGATATGAAGTGTTTCACTGGATTGTGGTTGTCGCTTGTTGTGTTGGACGCTTGATTCGGGTGGTAAAATATTTAGTAATTGACCCTGCATCATTCCTTGAATCGTTAGCGTTACGTTACACGAGAGTCTCATTGTGGGTTGAGATGCCGTTAAGATAACGTATCATTGAATGAGTCGTTGGTATCTACTGATAATAAAACTTGACCTAATAATGGAATAGCAAAGACACGTGCACACACAAACACACACATTGATTACAGTACTTGCACACACACACACACACACACACACATGAACATGCACACACACACACACACACAGGTTGTGAACAGATACAAGGGCAGTAACAATCCCATTATGAATCTGCACGAAAGAGTACTCAGTGTTCTCACAAATAGGGTATTAGGTGTTGTGCCGTGTTGATGACATGCTGTGATGCTTCCAAATGTTGATTTTCAATGAATTGTATTGTATGTATGTATGTGGAAGGAGGTGCATCTTTCTTCCATTGGATCATTCATAGTTCTGATTCATCATGCAATAAAATTCATTGAAGACATCTTATAAAATTGGACAAAACTTTTTGGACACCCTGTACAATGCATGCGTAACGACATAATGACAGTACGTGTCGGAGGTTGTAATAGGGGCTCCATATTCAGTGACCGAGGACCTCATGGACCACTTCAGTGTGGACATCGTCTGTCACGGAAGAACTGCCATCTGCGCTGACGACGACGGTGTCGATCCTTATGCTGTATGCCTTTGTAACTGTTTGTCCGTTCGTTTGTTTGTTTGTTTGTTTGTTTGTTTGTTTGTTTGTTTGTTTGTTTGTTTGTTTGTGCGTTTTCTTGTATGATTGTGTCTGTGTTTGTGTGTTTGCTTATATTTGTGTGTGTGTGTTTGTGTTTTTGCGCACTCTGTTTTTTGCTTTTCTCAATATTTTTACGTTCAAAAGTTATCATTAGATGTGTGTTATTTTTTTATTTTTTAATGATAAAATTATGAAAGCTAAAAGGACAATTATATAAGCAGTGATAGTAAATGTATTTCAAGTCATGAACGAAACATCACACTCACGTGACATCGCATGCACTGTACATGACGAAATTGATATTTGCACACATCATGACACGGCGAAATTGATTGTGACGCACACACACACACACACACACACACACACACACACACACACACACACACGTGACGTCACCTGATGACGTGTAGGTTCCCAGGAAGCGAGGCAAGTTCGTGCTGATAGATTCCGAATGCGATGTGACCACAGAGTCCCTCATCGAACGAATCATCGCCCACAGGTTCAACCCTCCACACTCCCCTTCAATCATTGAAAAATTTTTTTTCGTCTTCTACATTTAAAAAATGCATTTCTTCTAATTGAAACATTTAGTCGGGACAGATGATTCACATTTTTTTAAAATTCGGGTTACAGAAGCTCATTAACTAGATGCAAATGCAGTCATGAAAATTTGCTAGCAGACGCGTGATATGTAGATAGGATGAATGCATTTGATATGTAGGTAGGATGAATGCATGTGATATGTAGGTAGGATGAATGCATGCGATAGGTAGATAGGATGAATGCATGCGATAGGTAGATAGGATGAATGTAGATGAGACTGACCCAATGTAACGGATGAATTGGTGGGTGGTGTCGGCATCACTCCAGTATTGCAATGGAGAATCTCTTAAAAATAGTGGAATGCAAAATCTTTTAGTTCGTTAAAGTGCAGAAGCTGATGTTAGATGATGGCAAATGAGTGTCTTAGGACAGCAGTTACATTGTTATCACAAATCTCGACCATTTTGAACTATATACTCATTGTGATTATATTAGCCAAGAGTAACGAATTCATGATAGCAGGAATGTAGAGTATATTTATATTGAGGTTGAATTTTAATAAAAAAAAAACCACTTATGAGTGAATTAATTTAATTAGCTATAATTTAATTGTAGAATTTATTTATAATTTATTATAATTAATTAATTAAATTAATGATTAATTGATGTGTGGAATTTATTTATAATTAATTATGAATAATTAAATTTATATAATTGTTGTGAATGTCTTTTTGTTTAACTTGTGCAGAGTTGAATTTGAAGCTCGAAACAGAAAGAAGGAAGAAAAAGAAAGAAAGCTGTTCATGGCCCAAATTGAACCGCGACAGCAATTTGAAGAGCCACAACAACAATCATTGAACACCATGACTGGTATTTGCTAGTGTTAAAGTGTTGCTGTTGCTTGGATTTTGTCGTTGTTTGGATTTTACTTTTGTTTATGTTGTTGTTGTTTATGTTATTCTTGTTGTTATTGATAGTGTTGTTATTTTTGTTGTTGTGGATGGTTTTTTTTTTTTTTTATTCTTGTTGTTGTTTATGCCTTTATTGTTTATGTTTTTGCTGTTTTCGTTGTTATTGTTGCTGCTGATATTGTTGAATAGAACTGAATTGGTCGTTTATCTATATTCCCAGCAGTGAGCACGGGTGAGGGGAAGGTGTAGGTGGCGCTTGGGTTGGTTGGATGGATGGACGGATGCTCCGTGCACGTCTGCATCAGTTCTGATTGGTGAGGAGGAGGAGGAGGAAGTTCAGTGAATAGATGGATGAATGAATTGATAGACAGACAGATAGATGGCTTGATTGGTGCATGGATGGATGGATGGGTTTATCATAAGTAGTGGTTTATGAAAGTGATGATAGATGATGGCGTTGAAAGTGTCAAGGGCTTGCGCGCTTAGTTCACTCGTTGTATTGTCATGATATCATATCGTCGTGTTGGTTGGCTGTCATCAGTAGCAGTATTTGACACATTATTTGTTTATTTATTAGGAGTGAACATTCACACAATTTTATCAGTTTTGTTTCTTGTTAATTCCGACAACCACAATTGCTTATATAATTCAGCCACGTCTGACTGCAAACCTGACAATCATGGGATAAACTTACTGCATAATTTTATTTACAAGTATTCATCGCATTTAGTTTTGCTAAACAGGGTTCGTATAATTGCGCCATCATCGTCACCACCAAAGCTGCAGGCCAAATGCATGTTGGCTTGACTCAAGTTGTAAACTGCTCACTCACCCTACCGTGGCGTCATGCACAGCACACGCACCTCTCAATACAACTTTCGTTCATAACCAACGCAGCACGAAATGCGCCATCAAGTTACAGCTAGGAAATTTTTGAAAAATCTTCTCCATTGAGGGAACAGTTGTGATTCTTTTAATGTTATTTTTGGTCAAGAAATTTGTAAATGTCGCTGGACGTCATCGCATTCACAAGTTAGGATGTGATGACTTCACAAATCACGATGACCTCACAAATCACGATGACAACGCTTTCACAACACACACACAGCTTCTTTTACGTTGATTCATTTTTATTTTCATTTTGTTAGATAGGTAACCGAGTTTATAATTACAGAACTTAAATAACTAACTTTGTTGCTAATGAACTGCAGACAACCATCATCAGTGTTGACCGTGCGTCATGTTTATAAATGTGTCTGTGCGTGTGTGCTTGTGTTTGTATGTGTGTTTTTGTGTGTGTGTGTGTGTGTCTTTGTGTGTAGGGGGAGAAGGGTGGAGGCAGGAGTTTGAAAATAATCACCGCTTTAGTTGTTTCTTGTACGATGAATGATGATGATTTTATTAAATGATTCAGCTCTTGGTTATATATATTCTCTTGTCACATGGCTTGTTTATTAAATGTTGCAGTTGTGACAGAATGCATCACAAATATTTATTTCCATTCTCTTCAACTTTTTAAAACATTTTTAGTTTATCGGTGCGGTTCCAAAATTTATGAATCATTTGAAACTTTTAATCCTCAGTGACCTATCATGCGAGTTTTAAAGAAGCATTCGACTATCTGACCTGTTTTGAAGTTGATAGTTTTGACGTGTTCTGCGTTTGCCAGGGTTCGATTTTTAAAAATGAAAAAAAATTTATTGGTGGCTGGCTGGCCTCTTTGCCTAGAGGCTCTCAATATATTTGTGGGCTCGGCTGCCGGAAGTAATAAAAATAATTCGGATGAGTGGATGCTGACACGACGGGAGCAGTTGCATTTCATTATTTTTTCAAGTTTGAATGCATTCGCGTGTTACAATGATGCTGCTCCACAGGATATTACCTTCCGTAATTTTTTAAATTCGTTGTGGGTTTTTTTTGTTGATCAGAAGTTTATGTTTCAACGTAAATTGTGTATAAATTGTGCGTTTAGATGCTATGTTACTAATCAATTTAATTGTGTTTGGTATTTATGTTAGGAAATGTTTAAGACTTTTCAGATTTGTGACTTCGTGTCAAATATTTACAGTTTTTAATACATAAAAATATGATTACATTTAACTTTTTCAATTTAAAATTTGTTATACCGATGCAACGGTAGATGATTAATAACCATCACACTGAGAAGTCATTCAAACCTATCAATTGAATTAGTATTAATTAAACTTTTAATCGTGAGTGTCAGTTAGTTGTTTGTTAGTGTTTCTACATACATTTCCTGCTTATTTATTGGCGAACATTAATTACATTTCATTTGTTCACTCGTTTACAACCAAGTCTTCATCAATGCAGACGTGCATATAAGTAACGCTTAATTATAACATCATCTTAACAGTTGTATTGTCATATATCTTAAATACATGCATTGTTACGTGCATACGAATGCCAGACAAACGTTCTGGAACTTGTTTGTAGCATCTGTTAGCATTTAGTTGAAGCAAGTTTCTTCATTAGAGTTAGTACAATTTGTTTATAAATTAGTGTTTTATAGGAGAATGTCTAACTGTTTTTATTTGATAACGTGTTTTGACGTTTTTCAATGCTATCAGAAAATACAACGCCATTTTGATAATTAATTTTTGTTTTAATATATTTCATTTAGTAAATTGTGCTCTACAGTTGTACGTGCTTGGTTTTACTGTTTGTCGATAACAGTTGCAGTGATAATTGAACATTCATTTGCAGTTTCAAATTCAATGTCCTTGCAAAATTCATTTATGCAAAATTGAACGAACTTTTTAAATATTCTAGTTACTTTTTTAAAATATTCGTGATTTTTATAAATACATGATTGCCATTTTTTTAATTGTGTGTATCTAGAGCTGTTAACACTAACTAATTTATGTCATAAAACTGCTTTGTGGGCAATTCGTTACATAAAATTCCTTAGAAAAATTATTATTATAGCAGTGGGTTTTATTCGCACGAAGTTCCAAGTACGCAGCGTTCTAACTTACCATTCATTCACCACGGACAACAAACTGTTCTAGCGTAAGAAAGCGTCAATTCGTTTATATGATAGATTATATGTTTTGAAATTATTTATGATAAAAATATTTGTGAAAAAATAAGCGTTTCTCTGAACGAATACGACATTTTGTTTATTTTACAATTTTTTTTAAATTTAACGGTTTCGGAGGAAAGGATATGAAATTCATCGCGATTATATCCTCTATATTTTTTTGTTTCAGATAAAAAATTTATCATTTTTTAAAAAGTTGTAGCATTTGTATTCGTCATTGGCTGGCTACTGAATGATTGTTTGATCTGTTTGATAAAATGTCGATAAGATTTCACTACGCTTTTCTTATGTATGTTTTCAAGTACTTTTTCTCAAATGCACGTACTGTCCCATGTACAGATACCGACAATTAAATTTTTCCAAATACAACTTCTTAACCTACACTTTATGTATTAGAGTTCAAGTACAAGCTTTTTCGTCAAAGCTGGAAGAAAGTACAAAGCTATAAAATCTCGGATTCATTGTTGCATATTAAAAAAGTGATTTTTATTAGTTTGCTGTCAGTCATTTTAAGAATTAATTAATCAACTATCACACCTAATTAACTTTTTTAATTGTCGACGTCGTTTATTTGGTTCAAATGGAACGTCCGTACCCTGTCCTTGGTCGTCGATAGCATTATACTTAAACAAATAGATTTTGTAAATGTTTATACCATGGATATATCATGGTTTATAAATAAAATTGGTAAAGCGATTTGTTCTTTTACTACACATACACAGTCAAACCTAAATGATTAATAATCGAAAATAAGTATTCACCATATTACAAGGTGGGTGACAAATACTTCACAATTCCAGGCGTCTTTTTCCACCATTGTCACTTCGCTGGATGTCAATAGTCGAACTGCTTGTGCTGGAAAGTACACCAACTTGAATAATATCCGATGAATTTTTGCTTGATTTGATAATTCAAAGTTAATGCCACAGTTTTCATCAACGAGAAAATTACAAATTTAATTATAGACCAAAGGCAGTGATTGGATGAACTAATTCAATAGCGTGTTTAAATTTTGCTGTATTAGTTTGCTTGTTTTTGCTGGACTTCGTGATGTAGGGGGCGTGATGGGCTAGTGGTTAAGTTTGCCTATTGCTGTATTTAGTTTTTACAGTAGTACGGAGCAATCATTGCACATTGATGAACGAATGAAACAACTGTACAGTTTATTCATATGGCAGCTTTTAATCAAATCGACCGTGATTTATATTTGCTTGATATCCATGAATCATGTTAGATAAAAGTTCAAATCATTGAAACTTATCGTTAATAAAATAGCCCATTAAATAAATTACATGTTTGATTACGTGTTAAAAACAAATTAAAATACAAATGAAAACATTACATATAAAATTTAAAAATATAATTAAAACAATGTTAGAAAACTATAAATTATAAAAAAACAAAACAAGAATATCTGTCATAGAAGCGTAGGATCGAACAGCAAAACATAGAAACAGACGCCTGCCACAGAATATCATGTTTTATGTACAAATGCGTTAAACACGAAAAGACCAATTCATCACTTTCCTCTCATTGTCACAATCATTAATTCACAATTATTCTTTTTTATTATTTTATTTTTATTACTTTACAAATCATACATATAAAGATATGGTACAGAGTATGGAAGGCGAAAGAGGCAGACAGTGGCTAGCAAATACATAATGCAGGGACTCAACTGTCATTGGCCAGTTATCTTCAACTTCCCAACATAACCGTACCTGGAATTCAACAAATTATTAATTTATCCATGAAATAATTATTGAAATTATTGTATTGATGTTTATCACGACTTATATTCAAATGGATGAATAGTACGTCTGTTCATTTAATTATGATCAACGCTAACAAATTAACAATACAAGAAATTTTTCATAAGCTATTGAGCAGTTGCCCTGGAAAATTATTTCTACGAAATTTAAGCATAATTTCATCACATGTAGGCTTGAAACGCTTTATTTGTACGGTGGTCATTTGCAGACTTTAATTTACATTATAAATTTTAAATTAAATAAAGATTGGGGCAAACCTTGCTGTCGAGTATTTGTTCTTGATAGCTTGCAAGCCGGAGGTCTGCAGGTGTTTGTACATGTGGATGATGTCGTTGGCACATGCACTCACATCATCCACGCTGTAACCAGTCATCCTGGCTAGATCATCCGTCTGTTGGGCCAATTCAACAATGATAAACCATTAGAATTGTTGTTATCATCAAATCATCAAACTTCCTACAGAAGTTCAATGGCCGCTTTTATATGGCAATATGCTACAACCTTTCAATAACTTTGTTATAAAACAACATCAGCCAACCAAGTTAGTAAATATTTCATAGAAACATGACTAAAACGTGACTAACCCATGGCTCGAGTCGCAGTAGTATCCTGCTCACACAGATGCACGATGACGCAATCTGACTCGGTAGATACTTCAGGAATTGATCACCATCCAACAATGTACAATCAGCCAAGTACTGCACGAAGAAAGAAATAGAAAATGTAGTAATCAATCCACTTTATGAGTTGTTTATGAAGCAAATCATTTTTGTATGAAGCAAATCATTTGTTTGTAAAATAAAATTGTTGCCACCAATTAACAGGCATTAGTATGACTTATTGGATCATAAAAATTTAGTTATCCCTATTCATCATGTCATCAACAGAACAGAAAACATCAAAATGGGAACATGCAACAGTTCCAATGAGCTGATCTGGATTATATAAAATTAAATTTTCTCCACAAAACACATAGCATAACATAACATGATGTTATGACAAGCAAGATGGCAGAACAAAACGAAACAAACATCACCATTGCAATGTGCGGCAGGAGTGGTTGATCATGGTGTATGTCTGTGCTCTCGAGGAAATGCTTGCATAGGGCCATGCTGGTCGTTGGTGACACATCAAACTTCAGTGTTCTGAAGACTAACTGCTCCATCCTTATCACCTGCCCAACAGCAGAAAGTCATGAGAATGTTTAATTGAACATTTGTAAAATTATATAGAAGAATTTGAAAGCTTACATCGTTGCTAGTGCAGGCGTTGTCAGTCAAGTAGATGAGCTGTTGTAAGGATGGAAGCGTCTGAAAGTCCTCCAGCTTCCTTTAAATAGGTATTTGAATAATTAAAATGAACATTTTTTAAAATTATTATTCTTTTACATTAAAGGGATCGAGCACAACAATGAAATGTATAACCAATCAATCAATCAATCTTCGTTTTGCGTCCAGAGACCCGGTTTCCCGAGGTAGGACGTTAAAATGAATAACCAAAAAGATGAAAATGATTCATAAGTTGTAGGCTACTGCATGTCTAGCTCTTAAATGAGACCATTATAATTTAACTGCTGAGGCATATAAAACAAAAACGAGCCAATGAGTTAATGACAAACAATGAAAATAATGAAGACAAGCATACGAAGCAATGAGGAGGCATGCAGTGCCGAGCAGTTGCAGTCTTTGTCTGTTGACTGCCATAAGGGACAGGAACCTGTCAAGGTAGTTGGTCGCCAAGTGGATGACCTCTGTGGGCATCTGGAACTCCTCGGTCACATCAACCATCCAATCAATCAGCGTTGCTCGCATTTTGTGTGTCAAATCTACTTGCCTGCTCATGTAATCAGGTCGCGGTCGATTTATTGCCTGAATTAAGTTTTAAAAATCATTTGAGAAATGATGCTATAAGCTTTGTTATAGCATTTTAAAAATTTGTTTAAAAACTCATCAAAAAGAGATAAATAAGAAACATGAAAGATGTATAATCCATTTAGCGCATATATGATGTGTCCTTTCAGTGAATGACATTGGAAATTAGACTAACCTCTTTATCCTGCAAATACTCTCTGACATCAGCTTTGTAAATGTAGGACGCCACTGTTTGCTGGCCAGTCGAAAAAATCTCATCGGTACCTTACAATAAATTAAATATCTTTTTATTTTAAAACAGAAGTGGTAGTTTTCATACAGCTTAAAATTAATTAAATGTTTAATTGACAACTTTAAAAATTTAAAAAACCCGAATGTGAGTGGCTGCTTTCAAGATGTTCTTCTGAGTAACAAGAATCAAATGTCATATCCAACAATTCAGTGTCACTGTCAGTAACTTTAACCTTGTTTCTCTCAACATTTTGGTACTTTTCTATAGCCCGGTGAACCTTCAATCGAAATAATCAAAATGTTCAATATATAAATTATAAAACAGCTAAGCTAGTAACTAAAAATTAAATTTAAATACTTAAATTTGAAGTAAACAAATTAACAATTTTGTCTGAGCCCAAACCTGTTGTTGTTCGTACTGCAAGTTCGTCAGTGTCGCCAATGGTTTGCGGCGGCGTGCAACTCGCAATTTCCGTGCCATGTGACGAGAAACGTTCTCGTTGTTTTCCATATTCTTCTGGGACTGATACATTCTATACTAACTATATACTATACTATACTATTCTGCCAGTGTCAGCTACTAACTTATTTACCAACACGATGATGATTTGGCTTTCGTGGCAAGGTCGTAGGCGACAAACAAACCTTGTGAATATCGTTATGAATATTAAAAAAAAATTTAAAATTAAATTATCTGAAAAATTATCCATAAAATTTTATTTCTGGAATTTTATTTAGAACGTTATTAGGTGTAAGACGTAAGAAGTTAAAAAGTGAAAGCGTTTGAAAATTAGTGAGTTTTAATTGAACATTTTAAAAAATTAATGTGTAACCCAGTAAAAATTGATTTGAAACTTTGCGTAAAATGGATGAAATAAAAAAATAAAACATTAAATAATAAAATTCCAGCAAATCTGCCGTTCAACGACTTATACAATTTAAATGTCCCAGACTTCTAACGAGCCAGCAGTTAAAGGGACTCAACAGCCAATCACGTCGCACTACCTTCAAAAGATACTTTTTTTATTTGTATACAATTTTTACATCATATTGGTAATTTCATTTGATAATTTTTCGAGTATAAAGTTATTTTTCCAAAAAGAGCTCATTCAAAAGTAATTGGAAATTTATTATTAGTTTAAATTTAAATGAAAATTTGGTGAAGCTTGAAGAAACTAGCTCAGTGCTGTTACCTTAGAAACCTTTGCACGCTCTGATACTTTTTTGTGCAAAAATCATTTCAGATGCAATGAAGAAAACTGTTAAGACTAAAGAAAAAGAAGTAATTTCACAATTTTTTAAAAATTTCAAACGTTTCACGATAAACTATTTTATTCAATGAATCAGTGATATTTTATTTATCGTTTTCAAGAGCGGCATATTTTAATTTATGATTTAGTTTTAGAGACGTCTAGTGCTACGATTACTTATGAAAAGAAAAGAAATAGTCTTTCTTTACTATTACTTTGACTAGTTTGGTAAAAGGTAAAGTATTAAACTAAACTTACTTTGGATCTTGACTTGGAATTTTCTATTTTCTTTCCTTTTGCAAAATCTTCAACTTCCACTATGAGTATCAGTGTAATCTGTATGTATGTAATCATTACATTTTAATGTATATGACTATATGATAAATATATATATACATATAATAAATTTATATAGGTATAGTAGTATTTATATTCAAAATTCTACAACAAAGACTAATCTATTTGTTTGTTTGTCCTTAATGCATAATTTATTTAATGTTTTTTTTTATGACTGATTGGCTTATTGATTATTTTACTACTGATAATATCATTATATTAATTAATAGTAAAATTATTTTATAGTTGATTAACCAATAAAATTGTAATTTTTATTGTGTGTGTTTTTATATTATACACACAATTTTTACCTCACTTTGTCAATGACCAGCTGCACCACATACAAAAAACTTTATGTTGTGCAACATGTCTTTTGGAATGTAGCAGCTTTGCAGTTGACACTTGTAAAAACTTTCAGTAATGCACCATGCACGGTTTTAATTTTAGCTTCTTGTTTTTCAGTCTTTGACTTTAATTACCGACTAATGCTTGCAGCGTTATCGATTTCAAATCTTTTTATTTGTCTCTGCATACACAACAGTGTCGAAAATACACAAGTTTCACTCTTACAAACTTATCTCAACAAAGCAAACAGTTTTCGGTGGCTTTGTCATTTATCAAATTTTTGTAATCACTCATTACTTAGCTAGCCTGACCTAGTACATAAACACGGCAACTAATTCTAATTTTTTTATTTCATTGTTTCCCTTTTCTTAATATTTTCACGTTTATTATATGCTCTCATACATTCCAAAATCCTTCATGACAGACAGTTTCAAACACCTTTTTGTAATCTACTTTTTGCATTTTTCATTAATACTTCTATAATCAAAAGTGGGTTGTCGTATTTTTAAAACTTATTTGCTTTTTATTTGTTGTGTTTTTGTCATCGATTGATTGAAAATTTAACCAAAACTGAATTTGTTGTTCTTTTTTAGGCAGCTCTTTTAGGCGCAGTATTGTGCTTACAAATCATTCTAATCTTACAGGCTGTACTGTCCACACCACATGACGCACACGCATGTTTTTCACTGCATCATATATTTATAGTTTATGATAATTTCTGAGTTTTGGACAAAGTATTCGAACCAGGCCAAGAGGCGTAATAAAAGAGCTGAACATGACATTTCTACCGATTGAGCTTACCCGCCAACTTGCAATCATTCCTTTGATTGGTCGTTGGTTTGGTTTTGTTTTTTTATATGAATTTTCTGACAGATTCTGAAAAATTTTTGAAGTGAAATTGGTACTTCTGCTCTTATCAGTTAAATTGGGAATCCGTTTCCTCTGCTTAATTGTTTTTTATTGCATTTTTATGTTTTCATCACTAGCCATTTTTTTTATTTTACAAATTTTTATGCTTTTAGTATCTTGTTTCATGTTCTGTCCATCTATTTTAATATAATAATTTAACATCTAATAAGATGTTGATTTTCATAGTTGTTTCATACAAATCAAATTCAGTTTCGATTGATTTTTTTATGTTGAGGTATGTTATGTGACCTTGAAAATTCAACAGTTTTATTGCATTAGCAGGAGCAGCAGAACGAGGCAGACCAGCTAGCGGGATCAATAGCCTTATTGGACAGCACAAAAGATTTAGAGATTAGTGATGGGTGTGTTCAGCTATATCAGTATGCCGAAAAAGGTTTAGTTATATTTTGTAAGCAATTGTATATATGCTAGTATCAAATCCAACCCATGTATGTTATTATATTTATTTGTTTCTTTAACAATTACAGAAGAAGAAAATAAACTGAACTTGATTAAAAACGAGACTTGTATGAAGAGATTGGTTGAGTTGATGCACAACGAGTGCTTGAGTAACAGGAGGCTCTCTTGCATGGTCGTCGCCAGTCTCTCTTTGCATTGTTAGCTTTTTCATTGTTTACTTGGACATGTTTCGCTTGTCTTTCTTGACAAATGTAAATAAAAAAATAGAAAGAATGAATCGCGTTCATTCCTCAAAGTATGTTTTCACTCTTCGAACTCGCCAAGTTTTAGCCGTGTTTCCACAATTTTTAATTTTGCCGGTCTCTACATTAAAGATAATTGGAAATGTAATTTCTATCATTGCGGTGCTTATTTATAGTTTAATGTTTGAGAATCCCATTTAAAATTAATTTTAGCCTAATGATTCAAAATTAAACCTTAATGCTATTAAAAATATTGAATTCTAAAAATTTATGTACACTTTTAATAAACTAACCATTTATTTTTATGTGCTGCTTAGGTTGAATATCAAGAATCTTAGTGGAAAATAAAATATTTAAAAATAAATTATTATATTTTAAAAATAGCTTTTTCGTAAATTAGCAGAAGGTAGAAAGTACTTGAAAAGAACAGATGGTTTCATTCAGTGGCTGGTTCAACTCATCAATCATGAATGTAATCAAAATATTTTTATTTTAAATTTCATTTACACATTTCGTTGTTATATTGAGAAAATTAGCATTTGTATTTCACGCGTTTGTTACAGACTATTTTCACATTTAATTCATTGAGAAAAGCAAGTTACTGAGTTCGTAGTTCGTAACATTAATTACATTCGTAAAATTCCGTAATCACAATTTGGGCATCTGATGTAGACAGGGAGGGTATGCACTCCTCGGATGAGGCAACAAAACCATCGCTAGTAAAAATGTTTAAAGGCTCCATGTGGTTGTGAGATTCCAGATTTGAGGGGCCTTTAAATGATTTTAATATTTTATTTTTATATTTCATTCTTATGCTGTCGAAAAGAGGTCATTTATAATCAAAATTATCAAATTGTTTCATTGCTTCATACCGTGATGATTTCAAAAGAAAATTCCGTTAATTCGATAATTTTCACTATTAAAAATATCAAAAACGATTTTCTTCTGAAATTAATCATTCTTGAAAAACAAAAAAATCGTCTGTCTTTGTGGAAGTTCTTGATAACTTATCTTGCATGAAGGTGATGCGATATTGTTGGAGTACACGTTGTTGTGTCTGTCTAGCATGGCTGTCGATTGGACGAGTAAGGTGAAGATTTGCTGCTGTGGAGGTCTCTTGCCTCTCTTCCAGCACCTATCTAGTCAGGACCCTGATGTCGTCACAAACTCACTGCACGTCGTTGCTCTCATGCTCCAGGTTAAATCCACGTTCGGTCGTTTATTTTGTTGAGGTTGGTTTTGTTTAGTTATTCTGTAATAAAATTTATAAAGACAGGATTCTGAAAATGATAAAAAGTTATTATTTCTGAGTTTGAATATGTTTCTAGAATAGCACGAATTGTACTCAAGATAAATTAATTATAATTAGTATGTTCATTGAAAAACTTGTCGATGTAATTCTATTTCAGGTTGGCTATCGATCACAATTTAATTTTACAAGTTTGTAACAGAAAGCGGACGTAGTTATGAATAAATGATTTTTCATATTGTTAGGATTACGACGTAAAGAAATCCTTGTACGCTTGCAACACGCTGATGAACATTTGCCCGTTCCTCCATTCAAAGTTTGTCTTCCAACAAAAGTTGGCACTTGCTATTTTGCAACATGCAGCCGATGATGGCTAGTTTCTTTTTATATTTTATTCATTTTTAGGATTTCTGTTAATAAAGATAATAACGTTGGAAATCCACTGTATGCCCAATAGATATGAAAAACTAGTTTAAAATGATATGTCCATGATTTCAAAACTCCATAAATTTTGATATTCGAGCATAATTAAGTGGTTACGAGAACTATTTTTCCAGAATAATCCAAGTTATGAAATACATTTTTTATAATCTAGCTGATTGGTTTATTAATTATTCAAAATTTCAATAATCACTTGATTTTATTTTCAGTGAATTTACGTGAAGTCATCAGTGGATGTGAAATACAATCGAAACTTATAGAATATGCCAAAAATTCAAGTAAAAGCAAGGAGTTAATTCCTTACGCTGTCGACGTTTTGTCAAAAAGCCTACACGTACAATCTGCTGTTCAGGTAATCGCAACACGTACATACATTCAATATACATGTAGAATGCGTATATGGAACATTGCAACATCAATCACTTTTCTTCTTATAATGCAATTTTAAAGCATATAACGTTTCAGAACCAGAAAAGACAGTCGAAATATACGTTTAATTGATACAACAAATTGTTTATGCCAACATATTTTTAGTCAGGTTTTGTTTTGTGTTTGAAGCGTTGATATTTACTTTCAGCGGTTTGTTGAATTGGGTGGCTTGGATTTACTGGAAACCTGTTTGAAAGAAGATGCAACAACTGCAGCAGCAGCAAGCAACGAGGTCTTGCCGACTGAGGAGACGAGCAAGAAAGGGAAAAAAGAAAAACTGCCACCTGTTGCGCCTAAGAATATTAAAAAGCAGAAAGAAGAAGAAGGTGACTACGTCTAATTTTGGCGCTTCTTCCAAGCTATTTTATACTGACACTGCCATATCTTATTCTTACAATGGTAAACTTTTCCAGAAGCATTAGCAGTGACTGAAGTTGCACTTTCATCGTAATTGGTGAAATATTAAAAATAAAATAGTATACAATACTGTGACGCTAACCTTCCGGGTCAACGTTCAGGTCAACTGGTGTTTGGGTGCATTTCCACGCGTTGCTCAATGACCTTTTTTTATGCTGATATAATTTAGTGTTCAATTCAAATTTTCACAACCTCCCCGTGCAAGCCGACTTACTTAGAGCAATAGTCACTTTGCTTTAAGTCGGCTTGGTACTTTGTTATTTTTCATTGAACCGAAAGTTTGCGAAAAACTTATACACAACGCTTGCTTACCCTTCAAATTCTTCAAATTTTAAATTACGGAACAGCTAAGCTGTGAAAATGCATTTTTTTGTAATGTACGAGTTTTAATATTTCAATAAATTATAGCAAAACTTGTAATACATTACAATAAAATATTCACATTGTCAAAAATGTTTGCACTGTAGTTCCGGTGGAAATTGTCGACAAAAGAGATAATGTATTTATTGAGTGCACACTGATTCAAAGCACTGCGAAGTGTTTGTCCTCAATCGTCTTGCAAGGTTTGTGAACGCAATTCATTTATCAACTAGTTCACAGTAGTATGCTAATGAATGATTAAACTAAAATCAGTTGAAGAGCTAGATTTGAAATAAGTTTGGAAATTTTTCAAGTTTAAATAACAGATTTGTTCATACTTCATAGCTGATATGTTCAGATTGTGGCACAGCAGAAATATGGAAACATTGGTAATCAATCATCTACAGAATGTTGAAACTGCCCATGCACCGACACAAGCTGCTCTCATTGAAATTTTGGCCCTCATGTGTCTCTACGAAATGAGCTTGAGAGTGATTGAAAAAGCAGGTAATCAGTGTTTCAACCAAATTTTACAGCTCGTTGTTTATATAATGATTTTAATTTTTTTAAGACGTGTTGGAGAAAATTGCTGGTCAGCCTGTAACTTCCGAAAATACATTACTTTCAGCGTCAATAGCTTTGTTCCTTGCTAATTTCACACATGGCCAAAAAAATAATTGCATGTAAGTTTTTTATATTTGGTGCAAACAGCTTCTAAACTTTAAAATATTTTTAGTAAATTAACAGAAAGAAATGGCGTCTCAAAGTTGGTTGAAATTTTGAAAATTTCAAAAGACGAGCAATCGTTGTACAACGCTGCATGTTGTGTCTGCAACTTATCTTGCGTTGTCGAGTCAAGACAGGAGCTGATCAGATTGGATGTTGTTCCCCGTTTGGTTGATATTCTTTTTAGTCAGTCAGTATATCATTTTTGAATTTGACTATCGAAAGAGTTCTTTGAGATAATTTTTTTTCTTCCAAATGAAAGGTGCATTGTGAACAGTTCGGCGCCTGCATCAAAAGAAGCTGTAGCTGTTATGAAGGAATCTGAACAATCCGGCGAAAACTATAAGTATGAGAACTTGTCTATCGGTGTTTGATTTGAAATTTGTTATTTAATAACAGTCGAAAAAAATGTAATAATTTTCAAACAATAAATCAAATTTGCAGACTGTCCTTCACAGACTCAGCTTATTTGGTCGGAGAAGTCATATTGGCCCTTTCCTTATTAACTGTTGATCAGCAGGCCAGACAACAAGTTGTTCATTTTTTATTGTGCTCTGTGTTTTCTTCGTGATATGTAAAAACCTCTTTATTTAAAACATAATATAGCACATCCATCAACCACTCACACGGACCAGAATTAAATATTAGACGTCACTTTTACATCAACTCTCAACATAACGCCTTACGGTGGTGAATGTGGCGGATCTAGACAACTATTACGAGGGAGGGGGGCCAACATTTTAAAAAATGTTTAAATTAATTTTGGACGGGGGCCAAGATTTGTGGTATTGCGATGGAGAACTTTTTTCCTTATCACATCCATTTTTGGTCGATTTTTGAAATAAAACGATGCTTTTTTTCTGTTCAAACAATGATTAAAAGTACTGCTCACCACGATGGGCTACTGGCACTGGCACCACTCTCAAACTTTTTGAGGTAACTGCGTCTCAAATCAAATCTCAAACACGTCGACCTATCAAATAGTAATAAATGAGGGCGGTTATATTTAAATTTTATCATACAAATTATCATTTGTTTTTGCCCCTTTGTGATATTTTTTAAAGATTAGCCACAGTGGCCAGTTAGCTTCTTGTAACGGGTTGATAGCAACTTATGTATACACAGTGAAATATTTTTCTTCACGCTCATAAATTTAATCATTTATTATGGTATATTTTAGATATTTGTGCAATATGTTTCTAAATGTCCAACGTCAATTTTTTAGTAGTTAATTTTTCTGTCTTTTCAGCTTTATTTTATCCGATGAAGATTGCTCAATAATTTAACACCAATCATAACTTCGACCCCATCTTCCACATTCATTTCTGTCCACACTTTTAAATTTTATGCTTTTTTGGTCCATTTTTTTTACATTATAAATATTTCAAAAGTTAACAAAATAATTGTTGTTTGTGAACCTGTTTCGATTTCATGCACCTACAAGTTATCATCACTTGCAAAGTTGTTTTTGAACGTTTTCTGCAGTTTCTGAATTCCGGGAGGCTGGTGAATATTTTGAGCATGCTGCATTCGTACGACGGACGTCTTCAACGACGTGCCTCCATCTTCGTCTGGAGGCTCGCTCACCACGAAAACATCGCCAAAGAAATAATTCTAAATCGGTTAATAAGTAGTTCCATTAAAAACTGAACGGCTGTTTGAACAATTATGTTACAAATGTTTCAATATTTGTTTTGTTCGTGGAAATATTGAGAATACGATTTTTCCGAACAGCGGTTTACATTCACTGTTTGCGATCGATCAATCGTTGAAACGACGCAATGCCTACAACAAGTTAGCTCTTGATCAACTTTTCAAACATAACTTGGTCGTCAAGTTTGCTTACACTGGAGTTCTTGGTTAAATATAGTTTGTTTATTTGTTGTTTGTTCGTTCGTTTGATTTTTGTTGGTTTATTTGCTTAGCTAGTTACTGTTTTTAACAATTTTCATGAAAGACAAAAAACAAATTTATAAAGAAGAAATGCAATTTTTATCGCTGTTTAACATTAATAAGTCTTTTAAAAGAAAATTTAAAATAATTCTTCGCAGAAAAATTTTAATAAAACATAAACCAACTTGTACAGATTACAAAGATAGAATAGCAGACGGTTTTTACGATCCTGGTCAGATGAAGCCATGCACGTTCGAATGTTTCAAATCACTCGAGCAGCACCAGAATGAAGGTGTTGTTCTAAACATGAGACCTATCTTTCTTGTCAACCCGCGATCCAGAAACTCGTTCGCTCATTTATTTCTAATTTATTTTACAGTCTGAACTTTTTTTTGAAATTATTTTCATTTATAATGGTTCATTCAGAAAAACTTGGAAAAATTGATTGTTGTAAAAATGTTTTGTGCTTCTGTTGACATTTTTATTTCAACGTGATTTTTAACAGCTTTGATGTTTACAGATATGTTTGCGACTTCAGTGCTAATAAATTTTATTTTTTTAATTTCGTACATCGCAATTTGTTAAAAAGATTTCCAATTATTTGACAACACTTACAGACTGACGAACAGTCAAACATTGGTTGCTGGCGATGCAGACCAAACAAAAAAGTCGAGACTGTCTTCATCACCCACCAAGAACAAAACGTTAGTTCAAATCATTGTAGTGAATTGTATTGGGTTATGTTCTGCTGTGTTGTATTTCATTGTGTTATGTATTGTGTTGTATTGTATTGTGCTTTATTGTATTGTGCTGTTTGTATTGTATTGTAGATTTGTTAGGCGCCTCATCTGAGCTATCTTCATAGGTATTAGTTGAACAACGTTTGGATGGAGGAATGATGTTTTATGCGGTTTCTGAAAACTGATTTCAGTATCAACTTTGAAGATGACCGGCAATTATTTTAAAATTTTTGCCACTGCAACCGGAAACATCTTTGCACAGCAGCGAAATGAGATGTTTTGAACGAGGATAGACAAGGTCTCCATGCTTTGATGATCTCAGTCGATTTTTTTCCAGGAACATCAGAAATTAATTTAAGCATCTCTTTCAGATACAGATATTTTAATGATTTACGTCTATATATTCATATTACGTGACATTAAATTACTTATTTTTATTTTTTTTCTTTCTATATCTTCATATTACGTAACATTGCATTACATATCTTCATTTATTTCTTTTCATGTATCTGTTTGCACTTGCTCTTTTATGTTTGGTAATGCACGTTGCGTTTTTTTCTAACCACTTCTATATTAGAACAAAAATATCAATATTCTGCTTCACCATCGCTTCAATGCTGCTTGCCATTTAGATACAATGCAGTTGAAACCGAAAGAGTTTAATTCAGTTAACATAATAATGTGGCGATTACCATACATTCAGAAACAAAAAGCAGACGACGACCGCATCCAAGCAGCAACAGCAGCAAACATCGAAGATCAACAACACCAATGATGACTTGGAGCTAAAGGATGACACTACGAGTCTCAGCAACGCATCTCACTCCTCTTCCGATCATAACAAACCAACCGTCATTTTCGAAGATTTTGAACTGCAAGAATTTATTGAAAAATGCAAGGCTGAAGTTCTAGCATTGCAAACGACCAAACATCAAATTGTTCAATTGGCAAAGTAAGCGTACAGAACATTTTTCCAAGTTTTATAAAATAACTTTTTTTATTAGACTTTGTCGAAATGAAAAAGGAAAGAAAAGCCTATTTAATTCTTACAAATGAAAAGCCTTTGTTGCTGAATAAGTAGCCAAGTCTCTCTGCACGTGCAGGTTGGTGTCGGCGCGCATGGGCGGTCAGATGATGAAGCAACACGTGAAGGACTTCCAGTGGGCCGAACACATGGACCAGCTTAAGAAGCAACTCAACAGTAATCTGCTGCCACTTGGAAAGATCATGTATGGAATCAACCATCATCGTGCACTTCTCTTCAAGGCGAGTGAATGTGTGCGTGTGTGTGTATGTGCGTGTGTGTGTATGGGCATGTGCGTGTGTATATTTGTTGGTTTATGTATGTGATTTGAAGTGAAATAAGCGAATCGATATAATTAGAATTTGACAAGTCTGCCCCTCATTGTGTACGATATTGAAATCGTTCGAAGTTATGTTAAGTTTTTTGTCAACAATAAATAAGTTTTGAATCATTTCACAGTTTCAGCGCTATCAATTGACATTTTTAAGAGTTTGAACAGTAGATATAACTTTGTTACGTTTTTTGCATGAATTAGTTTGTTCGAATACTTATGCTAGCATGCGTACTTTTATGACGAACTAAAAAGAAATAAATACTCAACTTGATCAGGTGATAGCTGATCGTCTGAACATACAGTGCAAGTTGGAGAGGAGGGATTACAACCTCAGCTACGTCGAGGTCACTCTTCTAGACGAAGTCGCTTTCTGCAGTGTAATCATCTACTCTTTTTTTTTGTGTGTGTATTGTGTGTGTGCATTGTGTGTATGTGTGTGTGTATTGTGTGTGATGTATGTGCGCGCGCGTCATTTTTTTAATATTTAACAAAAACTTTGTCTGAAGTTCTAAACTTCCAAAAGGCACTGGCAGATATAACACCTAGAGTTATAATGGTTATTTCGTTAATTTATATTTCGAAAAATTTAGAAATATTGAAAAATATATGATTAACATTATGATTTCCGATGCTATTCACTCAACTTGTAGAGTCACATGACACACACGTCTCGATTTTATAAACATATTTAAAAATGAACATATCCTGTGGTGTCACACGAAATGAAACGAATTGTTATCAAAGTAGCGACTTCTGCCGCTTGAATTTCAACAATGAGTGGTAATAGTGGAATGTGTCGCGTCGACGTGTTTGGATCCACATTAATTTGATTTCATTCACAACTTTGTTGTCCATCTGAAGTTAATTATATCACTTTGTTACAGGATATTTATGGCATGAAATTTTACATCCTATGGCACATGCCTGTAATATAATAACTAATTAATCATGCATCAACTGACTCGTGACTCCACCTCGCCACGCCACGCCACGCAGGGGCGATGTGTGAGGACGGAACAACTAAGGAACGTGAAATACCTGGTCGACCTGATGCACCAGCCAGGTCACCTCATGACATCTGGCTCATCTCAAGCTCTTGCCTACTCCAGCATTTAATTTTTTGAACATCTTTCATTGTTTTTATTGTTGCTTTCTTAAAGTATTAAATGCATTGATTCTAGTTCTGCTATTAACATTGCAATACGCAACCTTTTTTTTATTTTGTAGTTGTGTATAAAACTTTTTTTTTTTAAATATCAAATGTGTCACAAAAAAGTTGTTGCGATAAATAAGTTATTATACATCGGTTTATTAATGGCGAACAGCTGCTTCAATGGAAAGTTCAGCACGGCGAAGGTCGGAATACGGGCATTCCCTAACTTTCCAAGCGTCAGAACTGAGAAAGAACAACACGCATCTTTTATGAACTATTTTTTTTTTCGAAACAAAGTAATGTTCTTCATAATTGGATTCGCAAAAATTCACAATCTTAATATTTGTTGGTAACTATAACAATATCGTGCTAACTGTAAAATAAGATTGAACGAGTATTAAATCAAACACCCTTATTATCGTTAGCAATTAAGTAATTGATTTTTAATGAAACAAACGTTCTAGCTAATTTTGATCGAACTTCAAAAGTGTGAAAACGTGATTAAATTTGCCATCAATTTATTTCGATTCTATGTCGTTCGTTGTTAGAAGTGTGATGTACTCAATTTCATCAGTGAGCTAACTTCATATGAATATGTAAATTGAGTTTGTTGAACACGACTTGATGGGATGAACCAGCCAACCACCATCATCGTGTTTTCGAATTGTTTTATGAAGGCAGTGTTATGTACGTACACACTTCAACTAATGACTTGTTATACTTGTGATAAATAATTTTGGATATGGCAGAAAATGAGACGATAAGTAAGTTCCTCCTTCTCGACTTGCTCTACCGAAGTTTTTCCCAAAGGATTTTGAGATTGTTTAAATATCAGTTCGGAAATCATAACTAAAACCTTCATTAAATACTATTTTTATCAAACTTTTAAACGTTTACGATGTTCTTCATGCCAAAATTTTTTGTTATGTGTTCGATGATGTTAATCTTAAACTGGGCGAAAATAGGTTTTTAAAAGTTTGTCGACCATGGTGTCACTACTAGAATTAATTTTTATTATAGGTCAATTAACATGAATTTCACTTGAAAAGAAAAAATATAAGTATAAAAATTTACAAGAAAATCTTTAAAATGCAGGTATACCGTTTGAATCCAATTCCTGCGAGCCGAATTTATCTATTCTTCCAGAAATTAACGAAAACTATTTGTTGAAAGGTTTACCAATAAACTCCAGGCTTGAATGCGAAAGAATGGTAGCCAGAATCAACTACGTCGATCCAAAAATCAAAAAAGAAAAATTGGAAAGTTTCACCGAGGTGCTGGGCATTGGTAATTGAAGGCCTCAGAACTCAGGCAGAAAATCGTGAGTCTTCAGTAGTGCAATTTTAATTTGTGGGTCTGTGTTGCGATTCGGCTGATGAGTTTAAAAACTTTTGCGCATGAAATTTTACAAAATTCTTCACATTAGATTAGTAACCTCAAAAATGAAGGAGTTATGTGCAGCAACCTGCTTATTGGCAATGTTTCTGAATGTCCCACGCTTCTGAATTGCCCGGTTGGTTCCCGTTGGGTTTCTCACAAGATGTGTGATTATATTGGGATTATAATTTAGTAGATTCATGTAAAATATTGATAAGTCAATGAATCAATGAATCAGTCAATGAATGAATGAATGAATGAATGAATGAATGAATGAAGGAATGAATCAATCAATCAATCAATCAATCAATCAATCAATCAATCAATCAATCAATCAATCAATCAATCAATCAATCAATCAATCAATCAATCAATCAATCAATCAATCCAATCAATCAATCAATCAATCAAACAATCAATCATTCATTCATTTATTCATTCATTCAAAGAAACAACCAACCAATCAATGAATCCACAATTAGGCGATGGAATCGGCGCCAAAATTGAAACGTGATGCAATAATGACAACTCTTTCTAAGTTATTAACAACGTACGATCAACATTTGTTGTCCACTATTCACTATTGTGCTCTGATCAATCAAAGTTCAAAGTTGTGCTGCAACCAACAAACGAGGAATGCGCGAACTGAAATTAATCTCGTGGAGCCTTTGAGGAAATTCAGAAAAGTTTTTCATGAAATTTATTCTCACGCAAAAAGTTTGAATTGTGATTTTGAGATCGATAGTGAATATGCGAACAAAGCATGGAGAAATGTGTGCTCCAATAAAACTTACGAAATCATCAACTTTCTTTTCTGCTTCGATAAACTTTTTTTGCAGACCCTTCTGCAGACAGGGCTCTAAATTTCGTCCAAAACAGCATGCTCCTATTTATGACTCCGAATCATTCAGTTTATAATTTAGACTTTGTTTTAATTTTAACCGATCAAATTTATTATACATTTATATTTTTCTAAATTTATTAACTTTATATCATTTTAGCTATTATTTATCATTTTCACTGAAAATTAACTTTTCGATTTTAGGTTTTATTTTAAAACTTTTACACTATCCACGTGAAAAAACTAATGAGAATTTAACCATGCAAGTTTTACGGGCATGTTAAATTTTATGTGAAAATTAGATGAAATTATAGACATCTATATTTGGTTTCCATTCATTTTTTCAACACATTCAATTATTTCTGAATTTGCATTTTTCAGATGAAGTTTTATTTAATGCTGAACACTTTCTGTGAGAAAATTTAATTTGAATTTATGATTGATAATAAAGTTTATATGCTTAAATTCAATATAATTGAAATTTAAAAAACAAAAAAACAAACCCGTTTGCGTAGAAACGGATAATTCTAAATAGGCAGCAGCGATATCATCTGGAGTTGATGACAAAAATAATTTTTCATTCATGCCCAGAAATCGTGTCATTAAAAACTTATCAGTGTGAAAGCGAGTGGAGCCAGCCAAATACTATTTGGCACTCAACAACAGTTAAAAAAGCATTGAAAGATGAATATTTGTAAAAATTTCACACATCTTAAAATCATGATATTTTTTATATTAAAAACAGCGACGAATTTATTGAGGCATGACCAGTGCATCTCCCGTCAATCGAAAAATAAATATATGTTAGAGACCATTCAAAAATTTGTTTAAGGTAGGTATTTTATAAGCATGAAAAATTTACAAAATGGTCATCCACTATTAATCATCCCCTCTGCAAACTTTTTCATCCGCTTCTTTGAATGGACCGTAACAAATAATAGAAATGTCAACCAGTTAGTTGTTAATTTCCTTTTCTCAATAAAAACAAAAAAATTTTTTATTTTTGCCATTTTTCTACATAATGGCATGCCAAAAAATCAAGTATTATTACATAATTATATATTGTAAAACACTACACACACTACTTAAAAAATATTAATCAAAAGAGCAAACTTCTAAGAATTAGCAATTAAAGTTTCAAACTACCAGTTTCGCTCCCGAAAACGTCGTTCCCAAGTCCTGTCAAGTTTTCGAAGTTTGGGGATTGTTTCCTTTTTGCAGCAGAACATACATTTATATGGATTTGAATCAGCTCTGAGCACGCCACATCACAGCTGCTGGATATACGCGTTAAATTAAAAGTATGAAGTGGCCGTAGAAAATATTTAAATGTTGCTTGCCCATTTTTCTATGAGAAAAATCAGTGGCGGATCTAAGCAACTTTGACAGGATGGGGGGGGGGCAAAATTTTCAACGGTGGTGTTGCCATGATTTGTGGCAGTGTGGCTGACGACCATTTAATTTTTGCTTGTCACGTGTAAAAAACGACTATATATGCTAAAACAAGCGACATGTTGTATGAAATAATACCATTTTTTGCAGCAAAATAAACACTCGTGTGTTTACTTTGTCTACTGAAAACTATGTAAAGATTGAGGGTGAAAATAATAAACAAATTTTACTCCCTCCGCTGGCTTGTTGCTTTCTGCGTTGAAGATACACTCTTAAAAATTTGTTAACTATTTACTAACCATTGCAAAACGTTATGCTTACACACACACACACACACACACACACACACACACACACACACACACACACACACACACACACACACACACACACACACACACACACGCACGCACACACACACACACCCACGCGCGCACACACCATATATATATAATTTATATTTATATAATATATATATATATATGTATAATAGTGCTAATTACATACACCCTTATGTGCAGATATTTATGTAAGCATAGTATGCAAAGAGCTCGACGTAAGACAAAACGTAACGTGCATAATTATGTTTTGAGAAGCTACCAAAGCTCGCTGCTTACTCGCCTACAGCCAAACAAAACAACTGACCTGCTTGAACTTCACATCAATTCTACTATGTATATACGTGCTTATGTCTTCAAATGTTCATATATACATTCATTCATGTATATATTCTTTATTTAGCATTGGTTTAGGTATCATATATATGAGTATATATATATATATATGTGTGTGTATAAGTATGAAATGATATGATAATGAGCATAAATACCGTTGTTTATACATATGTACGTGTGTATAAATGCATGTATGTGTATAGATGAATTTAAATTTATATGCATAGTTGGATAGTATAACATATGCGTTGTATGGCAGAGGTAAGCAGTGAAAAAAAGATTGCAAATGTTTTAGCGGGACGTCATTGTTTACGTCATAATATTTAATTGCTGCGATCTCGCTAAGCGTTGTTCGCAGTTTTTTATTTTTATATAAAATTATTTTGCAATAATCACGTTTAAAAAGAGTCAGTTGGTGCAATTTTAATTTTTTATTTTGTAATTTATCGGAGGAAATATAATTAATTGAAATAAATAAGATGTCGAGTGGGTGTTTGCTTTTTTCACTTTTTTAATATTAATAATTAATATAATTAATATGTTATGAATATATAATATATATATATATAAAAATTATATAATAATGATATAATAATATAAATTATGAATAATTTTATTTAGATCGTAGAAATATGTAAAAAATTCTTGAAATTATAAAATAAAAATTGAAACAAAAAAGTTACTGATAATAACAACAAAAAAGATAAGCAGATTGAATTGATAATTGATTGATTCAGCAGATAAATAATAATAATAATAGATTCATCCAATTAAATAAAATAAGAATAAGATTTTAATATTTATTAATCTATAACAATTAAAATAAATAATAAAAAAAAATATGGTGAGGTGCAAAACATACTACTCATAAATCAGAACTTGCTGGATTAACATTTAATTAAATTAACGTATTAGTTGGCTAATTAATGATTTTATTCACCATATTTGAAAAATTGCAATAAAATTCTAAGGCTGGTTTCATGGATTCACGTCCTTCTTATTTGGTGAGTGAATAGATTATTTTTTTATTGATGCATGTAATGATGATTCATGTATGAGTATGTATTGCATCTGAATCATATTTGAATCATACAATATGAATATATATATATATATATATATATATATATATATATATATAACACTTGTTGATGAGCTATATATGTGATTGGATGGATCAAAGAAGCATAAAAAGATGACTTCGATTTTTTTTATTATTGATAGATCAACTACCAAATAAAGATAAAAGTTAATTTGGCAGATGAGCTCTTCACCATCTTCATTCCAATTTCTATCCTTATACTTCTAAATATTTTTGTTGAGGTTTGATACTTATTCCATGAAAAAAGGATTTATCTTTTCTATGTGTGCGTTTTTATTTTTGTTTTTGTATGTTTTTCCATGCTTAGTTTGAGGCTTGAAAAATGTTGAATAAATGTATTAATTTATCCTTTCATCAACCATTTATGTTCAAATAGTATTCTTTCATTAAATGCTAATTTAGTGAAGACAAATTTATGATATGACCTGATTAGAATGTTGAGATTTTGTTTCATGGCCTACATTTTTTTAAACATTTTTCATGGTAAATACTCTATTTTCAAGTTTATTTTATTTCTTATAATATAAAACCATTTTCAACATTTATTTAACAAAAGCTAAAATAGTAATAAAAATAATTGCTTCAAATTGATTTAAATATTAAAACTATTTGCAATGTAATCACAAATTGAAAAACAAAAAAATTATTTTCCACTCCAGCTATGAGAGAAAAATTGTTAAATGTTTGAATTTTGGTGAAATGGTGTTTTGGGACTTTTGGGAAAATTTATTAAAACTGGGAACACTGGATGATCCTGTTGAGTTAAGAGTTCAGAAGAGGACATTTGATAGTTATTAATACTGCTGATGTTTCATAATGGTTTGTTTCAAAATTTAAAACAAACTCTGCTGCAACAGAGTTTTTTTTATATTTCCTTATTGGTCATTTTAAAACATAAACCAGTAAACTATTCAAATACCATCTTTAATCAACAGAAGAAATCACATGGTGTGCTGCTCTGTTGGAAAGATTATAGGTAGATGTAAGGAATGATTTGAAGTGAAATATGACACCACACCCTAGTGATAGAACTAGAAAGCTGTTAACATCTGAATATCTTGGTTACTTTTATGAACCATTGTAACAGTTTTCAGATCTTAATCTAGCAGTCTATTAACAATTACAACATCAGTACAAGAGGAATTTATTATTTTTTTTAAATTGGTGTTTACAGATGATACAGTATATACTGATCCATCTCTCTCTAATCTCTATTTGCTTCAATTTATCTTATTGTTTACACATTTTACAAAAAGGTTCTGGTTTTAAATTTCTGTACAAACAAAATATTAAAATCTCACGTGGTTTTTTTTATTATATATATATATATATATATGTGTGTGTGTGTGTGTGTGTGTGTGTGTGTGTGG